ATTTTATAGCCGGGCTCGGTGGCTCAGCCTGCAATCCCGCGCCTTTGGGAGGCTGAGATGAGTGGATTGCCTGAGCCCGCGGGTTCGAGACCCGCCTGGGCAGCGAGACCTCATCTCTACAATAAATCAAAAAATCAGCCGGGCGTGGTAGCGCGTGCCTGTAATTCCGGCTACTCGGAAGGCTGAGGCGGAAGGATCGCCGGAGCCCAGCGGCTCGAGGCTGCGGTGGCCGGGAGCGGCCACTGCACTCCAGTCTGGGCAACAGAGCGAGACTCCAACTCAAAAAAAAATACATTTTATTTTGTATATTTGAGGTTGACTACATGTGAAATATATGTAGATGGTAAAATGTTTACTAGAGTAAAACAACTTATCTATTATGTCAAATAGTTACTTTTTACAGTTTTCAAATATAATTATTTCATTCTGTGTTTTTACTGTATTTTTGAATAGGTACTGTATGGCATGAAGTATTTATTTTTTTATTTTAAAGGGGTGGGGTACAATTCAGGGGTAGGTACATAAGTAGTCATTGTTCAGGTGACGTTTGGGCCTCCCATTGGTCCTCACTTCACCTGCTTTTGGATCAGGTACCCTTATTAATGTTATGTTCCCCCTCCTTCCTCTGGCAGTGATCTGCCACTGCCACTTTTTAATGTAGTAATATGATAAATGTTCAGGGTCCACTTATGAGTAAGAACATGTGGTACTCAGTTCTTTGTTTCTGGGATAGATCACTGAATTTGATCGACTCTAATTCCATCCAAGTTGCTGTGAAGTCCATAATTTTGTCCTTCTTTATGGCTGCGTAATATTCCTTCATGCATGTGTGCCACATCTTTTTTTATCCAGTCTACTTTCGATGAGCAGCATGGTTGGTTCCATGTTTTTGCTATTAATGCTTAATGATTAATGCTGCAATAAACATGCATGCACAGGTATCTCAAATTATAAGAATCTTAGAAAACACAGAATACACCCTTACAGAAATTGGAATAGGCAACCAATTCCTGATCAAAACCCCAATAACCCATGCCATAAGAGATGAGACTAGCCGGGCTCGGTGGCTCAGCCTGTAATCCTGCGCCTTTGAGAGGCTGAGCTGAGTGGATTGCCTGAGCCCGCGGGTTCGAGACCCGCCTGGGCAGCGAGACCTCCTCTCTACAATAAATCAAAAAAAATCATCCAGGCATGGTAGCGCATGCCTGTAGTTC